GGATCATTTAGTATTCTGCCTAAAGCATCCTTGATTATAGCAACTTGAGGTTTGAATTTGTTCTTCAGTTCCTGAACGAGTTTGGCCCTTTTGATTTTCCGACTCTAGCTCCTCGCACATTTCATTGTAATATTTTGCTTTGTCATTCCGAGCTGCCTTTTGGAATCTTCTGTTCAGCTCTTTAGTATCTTGAGTGGGTGGTAGGATGGTATCATTTAAGCAATATAGTGCTCTTGTTAATAATAGTAAAAATATTTTTTAAAAAACAGGTAGTGGTGATTATTGCATAATATGGTGAATGTCATTGAACAGTACATGTAAAAATAGTTAAAATATTTTGCTGTCTTTATTTTATCCAAGTTAAAAATTTGCCCTGAAAAAAATTATTAAAAAATTTTAAAAAAAATCATAATATTTTTAAAACAGAAAAATTTCAAACAAAAAACAGGATCTGAAAAGGGTAAGATTAGGACAAAACCAAGTTGGGCCAGTGCAAGGTCAGATTCTGTACTTAAAATGTATTCATTTTATCACAGGTTTTAAAATTTTAGAATAATGCACTAAAAATTCATTCTGTGGACGACTGAGCTGTGTGGCATCCCTTAGGGTTTGCATCCACGTCAAGTGTCTCACATTGCTCACACTAATCCTGACCTTGCTGTTTAGATGTTGCATTAGCATTTTACTAATGTTACAGACTTTAGGCACTCGGCTAGGAATTGAAGTTGCCAGTGGATGTACTGATCCCTGCTATTTCCTGGACAGTTCCTGGCAGAAACGGAGGAGAAAGAAAAACAAGCCTGCTGCCACCAAGTGTAATCTGAGTCATGATGACCCCCACAGGGTTTCCAAGTCTTGACAGGGAGTAACTGCCTCTCTTTCGCCCCATGGAGTGGCTGGTGGATTCAAATCAGCAATCTTTTGCATGTTATTAATGCACTGTCAAGTCACCTGCAATTCATAGCAACCTTATATACAACAGCTCTGATGCCTCGCCTGTCCTGAGCCAGGCTCACTGACTCCAACAACACCTACCTCCATTGCCTCACTTTCCATATCAATCCATCTCATCTGGGGTCTTCCTCTCCTATGCCCTTCCAATGGTCTTACTCTCCTCCACCATTCCAAGCATGATGTCCTTCTCCAGGGACTGGTCCGTCCTGGTCACTAGCCCAAAGTGTATGAGAGGGAGCTGCAAAATCCTTGCCTCCAAGGAGAAACTTGGCTTCACTCTCTCCAAAACAGACCCATTTGTTTTCCTGGCGGTCCATGGTATGTTCAAGGCTCTTCACCAGTACCACAACTCAAACATCAAGCAGTCTCCACAGCTTATGCTCCCCATCACCAGGACTCCTTAGGCTGTTGTTGTTAGGTGCTGTCAAGTCGACCATGACGCATAGTAACCACATGAACCACAGATCCGAGCCTTCCCTATCCTGCGCCATCCTCACAATGTCCGTCATGGTCAAGCCCACTATGTCACTGTGTCAATCCATCTCGTTGAAGGTCTTCTTAAAGGAGATAATAAAGAATTGTCTCTTTTCACCTGGTTTCTTCTGTGTGAATGTAATATTTGCTTTAAACACTTGCCATTGTTTTCTAATCTGGTTGCTCCAGGAAAAGAGACTGGCAGGGCTAGGATCTGGGCAGCAAGGAGGGATCTGTAGTGTGGAAGACATTGTTAATATGCCGCCCTTTGGACAGGGAATAACTTCAAGGAAGAATCTGCAGCGCTGTTCTGCCAAGCCCTGTCGGTAAGAAGCAAAGGGTCCAGCTGAGCCCTTTGGGAATGCCCCTGGGAGACCTGGGTTGGGGGTCCTGTGGGCTCCTATGGGCATCGTGCAGTGGGGCCCCAGAGCAGCTGGTGAGTTCTGGGACCTGCTGGTCCTGGCAAATGTCACAGTAAGTGGTGGCCTGTTTGGATGGCACTAAATTTTCCTAGCAGCCATCAACAGTTGAATGAA